GTCATCTAATAATTGAATCAGCTCTATTGAATAATTTTAGAACAATGTCAATGTTAGAATATTGAAGCGACCAATAGTGAATGTGAAAGAGACGATGGCTTGACTTATGTTGATGGCGGCGACCGACCGCCCACCATCTATTTGTTTTTATCCATTCAAAAATTCTCATTGAACAAATTAAAATTAAGAAATATTTAAAATTATCTAAATATATATATCTTTTAAATTTTTATAAAAAAAATATATAAAAAAATAGAGAGATAATATGACCCAAATAAATACACTTATCTAAATAAGGGCACTTATATAGTCCATGCCAAATAGTTCACAAACATAAAAGGATAAAATTGTCTATAAATATAACAAATACTGTTTGAAAAGATGATTGGATTAAAATAGTCTACCAAAAGACAAAATAGATTTAAATAGCTAACAAAATAAAATATCACATTCAACTCATAATCATTTCATTTTTTTTTTACAATCATCAAATCAGCTACAAAAAAATCCAACTAACTTCCCAAACATAATTTTTTTAGTCAAGTTAAAATAGTCAAAAAGGCAAATAGCCAACCAAAATAATCAACTTTTCAAATAAGTCCAAAATGTATTATCACATTCTTAGAAACAATGGATGCTTTGTTTGGTTTGTATTTGTAAAATAATTTTGAAAAATAATTTTTTCAAAAAGTTTATAAAATTTGAAAATTTGTTTGGTTATATGTTTTGAAAATAGTTTGAGTTTTAGAGTGATCTTTTTTTTTTTTTGGTAGTTGAATAGATGAATGTGAGAGAAAAAATGATTAGGGAAGAGAGGGAAAAAAATGATTGATTGATAAGTATCAAAGAGAAAAATAATTTTGAATTTTTTTTCACTAAAATTTTCAACCAAACAAATTTTTAAAATTTTTCCCCAAAATTATCTCTCAATATACCTCAAAATTTTTAATGAGTACTCCAATTTTTATTTATTTTTATTTTAATATAATTTTACCTCTGAAGCAAATTACCAAAATAACCAAACCTTGACGCCAGTCCCAACCGTCCTCTTTCCAGCAACAACAAGGCTTTGGTTAGCCATTCCATCTCCTGTCAATTCTTTTGCTTCTTCTTCCCCGCCACCACTACATCCGGAAGCTCTTCCCCAACTTTCTGTTGCCACTCTAGCCCCGTTTCTAACATCTCTTCCTCAACCCCAACAACTTTTTTTGCACTATTCTTTTACTGTGTTCAAATTTTATTCTGATAATCAATGCCAAACAAACTAAATCACATTCGACTTTAATAGTGTAAACAACTTAAAATAATTCGGATATCAAATGCCGACCAATTATAAAGATTAAATCGATAAGTTTATCCATTAAAAATTGTAAAGATGCCATTTTTTTTCACTTGTTTGATAATTGACATTTGTGTAACGTTTTTTTGGTTTTTTTAAGAATAAATTTGTAAAAAAGTAGAGCCAATGATTTTTGGATTGACTTTTTGAAGTTTTGAAACAAGACCTAAGTTCAATTTCTATGATACATCTACTTTGTAAATAAATTTTAAGGTAAATCATAATTACATTTTTTGAGATTTACTTAAAATACAAATTGTCTTTTGTAGTTTTGAAAATTAAAAATATCTCATTGTCAGAATTTTTAGTTCATACAATAAATAAAAAAATAAAATTTCTCATTCTTCTTCTAAATAATAATAAAATTACCTAAATTATTAATTGAAATATATTTTTAACATCATTACAAATTGTTAATCGAGTTGACATAAAAGAATATAATCATAATATAATTTTAAAAATTATAAAGAATAATTCGTATTTTAATAAAACTCAAAAATGTAATATTAATTTACCCTAAATTTTATGACAAACTTTCTAAGACTGTATAATTTCTGATCAGTATTTACTTTTGATGTGTGAAAACACAATTGACTTGTCTCAATATGTAAACTTTGCCTCCGTTCGGGAAGTGGGTTGGTTTTTTGGTTTTTTTTCATTTTTTTGACATTTTTAGCCCTGGCTAAAAAGCTTGGTTTGGGAAAGCTTTTTGACTTTTTGGTATTTTTGACTTTTTTTGTGAGATAAGAGTGTAATGATTATGGGTTTGATGTAATGTTTTGTTTGTTGTGGTTAAAATAATCTATTTTGTCTTTTGTGACTAAAATAGCTTCAAACCTCTTTGTCAATTAATTTGAGTCAACACAATCTTCAACTTATAGTTGTACTGTGGTGTTTTGAGAAATTAGTAAAAAATTAATTTTTTGATTTTTTTTTTATATTTTTTTGGTTTTTTTTTTTGTGTTAAACAAGCTGACTTTTTTGTAATTTTTTTTCTGTGTAAAAAAGCTAAAAAGCTAGATTTTTTAGCTTCTTCTCAAATTACCCCTATGTGGTGTTTTGAAAAGTTGATAAAAAGTTAACTTTTTGACTTTTTTGTAACTTTTTAAACTTTTTTTTTTGGTAAAAAAGTAGAAAAGTGATGTGATCTAAAAAAGTCAAAAAATTAAAAAATTATCTTTGTACCAACTTACCAAAACGTCCCTATATGATATGTCACCATTCAACTCACAAGAAGTATTGACTAAGAAAGTTAAAAACCACTGAAGATAATTCAGTTGACTTGTATTTTATTAATCCAAACTCATGATTATGAAATTTTAATATTGATATATTCAGAAAATACTATAAGAATGATATGACAATACTATTTTAGGTAACTTATATTGACCACCTTTGAGAATTTTAAAAAAAACAATAAGCTCCATTAGTTTTTTATATATCTATCTCTTTTAATAAGACTAAAATAACCAAAAATAATACTCACGTGTGTAAATATAGAGATAAATAAGGCAAAATATATATTTCAGTGTAAAAAATGAAGACATCATCATTTTCTCATCCAAACGACTAATGAATTTATGATGACAAAGGAGCAAAGTGTTATTTGAATTAAAACATTAAGAGCGCCCAATGTAATTATATCAAACTTGTGGACCTTAATGTACTTTTTTTAAACTCTAAGTGAGGTTAGGTAATTTACCCTACTACTTTTGTAAATAAAAATGATCTTTGTGGATATTTCGTTTTAGAGTGAAAATTTAACATTTTTATTTTTAACCGAAAAATATTCACGTTGAGCCAAATCAATTTGTATACAAAATTTTGTATTAATTGTTTGTTGGTACATCATAATGCCTTATTAGAAAGTCGAGTGTTTAAAAAGTTTTGAAGTAATATATGGTATTGTTTGCAAATGTCATATTTGTTTGGATGGATTGAACTAGATGGATAATTTTTGAGTGTATAAGGCATTTTACTTACATGTTTTTGTGACTTAAGTTATACATTTTTGTGACAATTTACAACACGTTTTATGGATTAACTTACGCGAATTAGTGTTAAGTTGCGTAATTTTGTGAGGTGTAAAATTGAGTAATTTTATGAGGTGATTTACGTATATTTGTGAAAACTTATATCAATTTGTGATTCTCAAATTTTTATAAGTTAACTTACGTGAATTTGTGTTTAGATTATATGATTTTGTGAGGTGACTTGAGTATGTTTGTGAGAATTTACGTCAAATTGTGAAATCTCAAATTTTTATGGGTTAATTTATGTAAATTTGTGTTTAAATTATGCGTGTCAATCATATTATTTAATTTTGATTATGTCTAAAATATTATTTACAAAATATTTGATTTTTAATATACATATTATTTGACACAAAATATTATCTGTTTAAAATATATATATTTGTTAAATATTATTTAAATAAAAATATTTTTGAAAACTCTACTATTCACTTTTTGAAAAATTAGGCTGATCACTATTTATTTTTTGACAAAATTAAAATTGATTAATTATATTATTTTGACGAAATTGATTGATTGGTTGTATTATCTTGACAAATGTGATATTGATGAGTTGGGTAGGTTATGTTTAGTTAAAAATCTCTACAAAAATTTAAAAAATGGTATATATGAGACTATTAATCACAGAGATGAGAATATAATGTCTAAAACGTCAAAGAATGGATAGTAATTGAACCAAACGTGAAGGGTCGTCAATATAATTTATCGTAAAAATTTTAAAATATAATTCCTTGTCGTCATCAATTTGATCAAAACTACCGCACCAATATGTACAAGTAATCCATATCATCGTCTACATCATTTCAATACAAACCCATGTATATAATCATCTCAAAACCTTAAAAAAAAAAAAATTACAAAACTAAGGCTAAGTTTGGCATTCTTAAAAAAATTTAAAAAATCAAAAAGTTACATAAAAAACAAAAAAAACATTACTATTCATAAATAAAAAATATTAAAAATATATTTTATATATATTTATACTTCAAATGCAGTAGCAACGTGACATTCCAAAACCAGGAAAAGATTCACTTTTTTTTGTAGGGGAAAAAAATTTCATAGGTAAAGGTTATTAGTTTGATGGTAATATTGGGCTCTTTGAGGCTTACTAAAGGTTCCGTTTTGATAATCCGAACCGGTTTATATGTAGAACTCATCGATTAATATATGCCTGTAAAAAATCACGTTGATCGGATATCGTTAACTATATGATCAAATCAGTTTTGTATAAACAAAACCAATGGTGTGATAGTTAACTATTGGAAAAAAGAACTAATCCGATCATATAGCTATCGATATCCGATCAACATGATTTTTTACAGGCATATAATAATCGACAAGTTGTACATACGGTTCAGATTATTAAAATAAGACCCATGGTGGCTCTCACGAACCCACCATCACTATCCAAAAATTATTTATTCTGAAGGAGTTAATTATTTTTCTTCCTAGACATGCTGGGCAGCCGCGGACAGCCGTATCATCAATCTTAAATCTTCCACTACACATTTTATTTATATAATTTTTTATTATATATTTTTTTATAAAAAGATAAAAAATTAACCTAAGCCTCCATCTTTTTTTTCTTAATTTTTTAATTCAAAAAAATAAAAAATACACTTATTTAAGACACTTCAAACAACCCATAAATTTTATTTTATATAAACTCTTCAACCAAGTGTCCAAAATCAAACTTGGCATTGCAGCATTGAACAGCACTCACCACCTCTTGAAACGCCGCCACGCTACAAGGAACCACCAACCCAGCTCTCTGCTCGAACCCAAACTCATCATAAGCTTTCTCTAACAGCATCTTGAACAGCGGATGAGAGAGAAACCCTATCGGCGCCACGAACCGCCGCCTCTCCTCCCCCACGTAGACTGCAAAATGCCCAGTTGGTGTCCCCGGCGACGCCGATGATGATCCTTCTTCTTCGTGATCGTCGCATTTGGTTTGGAGAAGACATTTTTTTTGGGATGGATTTGGGTTGCCGCGTACTTTCACTTTCTTTGCTAGTTTCTTGACTGAACTTATTTTCTTTCCTAGCATTTTTGGAGAGAGAGAGAGAGAGCGTGGAGGGGGACTAATGGCTTGCGGGGGAGAGGTAAGTGAGGTGGATTTGTGAATTGTGGGTTTAAGAGGAGGAATGTCTCAAATATTTGATGCGACACCTTTTTTACTTTTAAAATAATCAAAGAATTTATGATTGGGTATGAATCTTTTGTCATTTGGGGAATATTTGGAATATATTATATAAGTATATTTTATTATTATTATTTTTTATGGACTACATTTAGGATGTTTGGTTTGAATTTTTTGGATTAAATTTTTTAAAAATTGACTTTTTTGATTTTTCTTGTTTTTTTGTTTTTAATGAATATTTTTTAAATTGTAAACATTTTTTTTTACTTTTTTTAGATATACCTTACTTAGATATATCTAAAAAGTAAAAAATTTGTGAAAAAAATATCTTAAAAAATTAATAAATATATAAAAATATAAAAATTGTACTGAATTCTTGTATTTTTTTTATTTTTGGTATTTAGTGAATTTTAAAAAAAAAATTATAATTTTTTTTACTTTTTAGGTATATTTATGTTAGGTGTGTTTAAAAAGTAAAAAATTACTTAAAATATTAAAAAAATTCAGTAAAAATAAAAAAATACGAAAAATAAGAAAGTAAAATTTTCTGAAAAATGTTTTTTGAAAAGTAGAAACAAATAAGATGTTTTGGGTAAATGAAAGGCTAAAAGCAGAGAAGGAAGCCAATGCTGGCAAAAAGAAGTCAGGTAATTTATATTTTCTAGTTGCTGTAGAAACTCAGGTTTTCAAACCAGTTTCAAATGTAATTTTCTTCTTTTTTGAAACTGCCTGGATTTGGATGTAGAGGGAAAGGATGAAAAGTTGTTCGATAGGAGTTGTGAAATGTAATTGGAACTACACATTCCATCCTGAAATCAAACTACAGAATACTTTAATGCATTTCAGGGAGAATTAGCTAACTCTGGGTTTTATCCTTAACCACAACTCATCCACCAATTCTTCAACATCTGTTTGTTTGGAACACTAGGTTTCACCCAAGTTCCATCCTGGTTATGGAAAGATCAATCCTTCAGGATAAAGCAATGCCAGATATTCTTGCTATGTGGACACAAAAAGCAAGATCGCATCATTTGGTTGAATCCATAAGCTTTTGCATGGCTACATTCATGTATCTTACTTGGCGCACACAGTTTTATTTATTTGATTTCTGTAACTTGAAGTTTCTTACATTGGTGCCATCGTTTTCCTTAGAAAATAAATTTAAGTTTGGATAAATAAGGTTTTAAAAACTCTAAATGTGCAAGAATATATTTTGACCGTCACTGAAGCAATGTTCTGACTCCCCACTAGTTTCTAGAAAGTGTTTTGAATGTGTCGATCACTGGTTTTTTTGAAATTTAAATCTAAATGTGTGAATTGGGTTCCTGTGGATGACCCCAAAAGTTGGTGTGCACATTTTTTGTGCACATTTTTTTTTTAAAAAAGTTAAAAAATAGGTGTTTTGGATATATAGTAAAAGTTAATATTTTGGCTTTTTTAGCCTTTTCAGTCGAAAAAAAGTCACAAAAAAAAAAAAAAAAATCACAAAAAACTAGCTTTTTTAGCACAAAAACGTCAAAAAGTTTCAAAAAAATCAACAAGTTAACTTTTTACTAAGGCCTCATTTGGCAAGTACCTTTTTTAGTCAAAAAGCTAAAAATTTACTAAAAAATCAAAAAGTCAACAACTCATATCAAAAAGTCAAAGATTCTATTTTCTTTCTACTTTTTGCATATTTTTTCATAAAAAGTCAAAAAGTCATCCCAAACATATTAATTTTTTTTACATCATATTTTAATCAAAAAGTCAAAAAAGTTACTAAAAAAACCAATTTCCAAACGAGGTTCAACTTCTCAAAACACCACTTATTTAAATCATTTCAAACAATTCCTAAATTTATATTTGTTTTGTTTTAATACAATTTCAATAATACATATGATTTTCATGTAGAATTTAAGATTGAAATGATATAATAATAACATGAAAAATAATATTCAAGTTTATTTTTAAACACATTTTCTAAATCTAATAATGTGCAAGCGAGATGATTGATTAGAGAGAAAGATATTCTTATAGATTGTCACATTATTAGATTTGAAAAGTCTGTCTAATTTTTAAAATAAAGTAAAAACTACCTAGAATTTAAAATCTAAGGGTAAGAATCATTCATGAAATGGCTCCGCAACTACCTCTTATGTAATGGAATTCTAAGTAGATAGATTTTATATTTTCTTGAAATTTATTGATTCATAAGATTAGTTTTGTAAGGACACACACGTGACTGTGTGGGTAAGGCGCACGGTCACGGGTTCGATTCCCCACTGGGTGAGTGTTTGCAGCAGTTTGAAAGGGGTACACGGCTTCCCCTGGGCTACTTACCCCGCAGGATTAGTCCTGGCTTTCCAAAAAACTAGAGGGTTGGGGATACCTGCGTTATCAAAAAAAAAAAAAAGATTAGTTTTGTTGATATAAACTAGGGTGAGCATGGTCCGGATTGGACCGGATTGAAGTAAAATCAGAACCAATCCGTTATCTACGGATCCTGAAAAATTGGAACCAATCCAATCCGTTTAAATCGTGGAACCAATCCGAACCAATCCATTTAAATACGGATTGGATCGGTTTAGGACCACGGATTTATATAATTAAATAACAAAAATATATATATAACACTTTATTTTCATAAAAATATAAATATGGCACCATATTAGTTTCACAATAGCAATATGTCTTTTTATAATAGCGACAAACTGTTTTAGAATTTAAACAACCATAAAGAAACTAGTTCCACCATAAGTATTTAGACCATTACAAATTAACACTAAAAACTAGCAAACAAAAGTAATAAAAGAAGATACTATGCAAGTTTAGGTTTGGATTTAAGTTTTATATGAAATAAGAGAAGATACTATGCAGGAGGGTGTATAATAAAAATATAGACTGTTTGTATACGGTCCGGATCGGTTCCAATCCGGAACCAATCCGTGAACTACGAATTTTTAATTTTTCAATCCGGAACCGAACCACAGATTCAAAAAACCAATCCAAACCTACTGGATTGGACTGGACTGGATCGAATTACGAATTTCACGGATTCCTTACTCAGCCCTAATATAAACAACCTTATAAACTAATAAAATATAAGGAAATAAAGAATAAGACATAAAGGGTGCATGTGATTTTGATTTATTGTGATTATAAATTATAGTAACAAGTATATTAACTTACAATAAGGTCAAGTTTGGCAAGTTAAAAAAAAGTCAAAAAGTCAAAAAATTACTCAAAAAGTTAAAAAGTTATTCTTATTCACCAAAAGTAAAAAATTACGGTTGCATGACTTCCAATCCTAATTTTTTCCTACACACTAATTTATACAATTTTTTAATACATATTTTTTCATAAAAAGTCAAAAAATTAACCCAAACATCCATGTTTTTTTTCTCAATTTTTTAGTCTAAAAAGACAAAAAATACACTTTATTTAGGACACCCCAAACAAACCCTAAATAGATATAAATAAGACATTTTTCTATATAGAGTTTTTACATATAAATTTTGTATATATAATATTGCCATGTCAAAATTATCCCATTATTCAATCAGCAATACTGCATCAAAATAAAGGGGAAAAAATTTGGTGGTAAAATCCCTGGTTCTATGATTGTGGTGGTTTCCATTGTCTTTAGGAATTGTCTTCATGTTATTTTGACTTATCAATAGTTTATTAGAGCAACAAGAAATGATTTTAATAATCCTTTAAACATTGATAATATAGCCTACATTAGGCGGCTTCACTTACCAAATGATAAGGCTGCCCACTTAATTTGTTGGTTATACAAAAGGAATATTATATATATACACCTAGAGTGGTGCTTTATTTGGCCAATATCTAAAGTTGCTATTATATGTATCAAAATAAATTAACAAAAATAAATAAATAAATAAAAATAAAGATTGCTTATAATGATGAAATATCACTCAATTATAGATTTCAAATTTACTCTATAAATGTCTCTTCTCCACTATTATGCAAAATGTAAAGTATTGGCTAATTATCTTTTAATATAAAATATTTCAATCTATAAATTTTTTAAAGAAGGTGTGGAGTTACTCTATAAATGTCACTTCCTCACTATTATGCAAAATGTAAAGTATTGGCTAATTATCTTTTAATATAAAATATTTAAATATTATAATTATACTATTTCAATCAATTTTTAAGTAAAAACATTTAAAATAAAAACAGACCGAATTTTATAATCTTTTTTCTTACTATCAACCTACTATATAAGTAAAAAAGAAGATTTAAATACCAACCACTTAAATAATATATGTCTAAACTTAAATAATAATAAAAAAAAAATTTTTTTTGATATATATCTAATCTTTTTGAGAGGTGGAATATTGTGAATCCAATCATCTTTTAATTGAAAAAAAAATAAAATTTGTTATAACCATTCTATATAATTGAGTTAAGTGCCATATTTAAGACCTAATTAGCTTCCCTCTCTTCTCTACCAAGAAAGATTTAACAAAAAAAGAAGTTAATTTACCAAACAAGAGAGAATCCTTATACCGACCTCCCTCTATAAACCAAAGAGAGAATCCTCAAAACCTACTACACAATATTGAGAGAGAGAGAGAGAGAGAGAGTGAGAGAGGGTGTTTGGTGGAGGGCTGAAAATGATGGATTAACATGAAGAAAGTGGGAAACTTGTAGGGTTTATCATGTAATTTACCTCTAGGATAAATTGCCAACTTTAGTATGTAACCCATAACGTGCGTGGAGGGAAGTAGAAAGTTGAAAAGTTTTCGTGATCAATTAATTCCAATGAGTTTGATTATGCGATTTTCTTTTGTACAAATAGAAAGACTACAAAGAATTAAGAGATGTAGAAATCAAACACAAAAAATTCCATAAAAAAAAAATCTCTTTCTTCTTCTTCTTCTTTTTTTTAATATGAGTGCAACTGTTTAAAAATTAGAGTACCTCATGTAATTCC